TAAGTAATTGGTTTGATAATGGGATTCATCGTGTTGCACAACTTATAAATCCAGTTGGAGGTTTACTCTCTTAATCAGAATTTTTGAATACATATGGTCTTCCTGTTCCACCAAAGGAATATGCCATAGTGTTTGATGCTATACCTGCTGGGGTCTTAATGTTGTTTAGAAATCTTGTTGTTAGTGATTTGACCCCTTTACCACTGGATCCTGCTGTTACTTATGTCAGTCAGGTGTGTTTCCCCTCTGTAAAGAGGAAAAACAACCGTGAAATACGAACTCTGTTTCAAAAAGACAGAACTTGTGTCCCAACGGCTGTCGCCTACTGAAATAACTTATACCAGGACCTGGAATGGGAGAAGATTTCGACCTTACCGTCGAAATTTCTATTAAATAACAAAGTAAAGGAAATATCTTTTAAAGTTATTCATCGTTTTTGCGACCCAGAAAGAGAAATAAGAGTAATATTAAAACTAAGTAGCTGCCGCCATTGTTGGAGACTGGAATTGGCTGGGCCGCGGTATGAATTCTGCGATATGGTTTTTCAATTTTGCTGTCCGGGTGGAAAATTGGGAGAAATTCGGGAGAATGGTGGCTCCGGGAGGGGCACTGAAATTCGGTGTTCTCCCGGAAAAATCGGGAGGGTTGGCATGTATGGTTGTGGCAACATCACTAACCTTGTCAAACATCTCAGAGTAAATCATATCACAGAATATGACGAGCGTATGTTGAGGTGAACTGAAGAGGAGGACAGGGACAGGGACAGGTGCTGCTAGGGTGAGACAGACGTCTCTCACGGAGTCCTTTAGTGCTGCAGTCAGGCAAGGTGTTCAAATAGCACAACTTAAGTTTTTTTTATTTCTATATGATGAACTTTGCATTATTAAGTGATAAGAACAAGTAATCTGATGTCCTGTAATCGTTAATACGTTTTTGTACAAAGTATCGGTATGGGATTAGTATCGTCGATACCACCCTGAATATTACTTGGTATCGGATCGGAAAGAAAATCAGTGGTATCGCATATCACTAATAAAAAGAACAAATGTTAAAAAAAATTCCTTGAATATGAAGGCACTTTTTTCAGCAACCTGCCAGTTAGTAGGTGACTTGCTCTGCAGCCATCAGAATCACATTTGGTAATGATAAACACAAATTAAATACAAAAAGAAATAACCATGTTTTCATTTATACATTTATTTTAATATAGGTTTTTTTTTTTTGCATTTTGTTTTTTTTTTGCCAAAGCAACAGTGAGCCGCTGGTAATGGGTAAAAGAGTCTCAGATTTGAGACCGTGGAGTTAGTAGAACTAAAGTACATTAAAACCAGCCAACTGTTATGAATTAACACTGTTCACCTTCTGTCTGTCCCCAGGAGTCTGTAATTGTGGGTTAAATCATTCTCCCCACACGAGCAGCACTGTGCGTGAGGCTTGCAGCAGCTGGAGTTGAGCCAACGTCACACTCCTGTTACAATATTGTCACAGTGTATGCCAATACAGGTGGATTTTGGCTTCGTCAACTCTCTGTTTCATTTAATTTACATGATATATTTAAAATTACAGTCTCTGACATTGCATTCACCTTGTAAGTTGGACAAAGTCATACGTTTTTTTTTGTTTTGGCACAAAAATCCCCCTGCAGCATCACTTAGTAATGTAAAGACAAAACGAATGATTAAGCTTCTTAACTGAGTCAGGAGTGTTTTGTGCCCTTCTGAAGAAACTGCTCCAATATGTAATGATAGGAGTTTATTTAGGGACTGCTTTACGACACCTTTGTTATTTCTTCTTCGTTAGGGGCAGCTGTGTTTCAGGTGGTAGAGCATATCATCTACTGATCAGAGGGTACTTGGCCAAGACAGTGAACACTGCATTCACATGTGTGTGATTGGGAGACTTAGATTAGTAGTAGGAAGCACTTTGAGTGCTTAACAGAGGAGAAAGGTGCTACGTAATTTCAAGGGAGTGTTTAACTAAGACTGCGTAAGGTCGGTGTCAATCATTACTAAGGAGTGAAACTGGTTGAAATGTTCCTAAACTAAAGGTATTCATTCAACAACACTAACTATAACATAACAAACTGGAGTGGACGGGACCGGAAAGTACAAATGCAGCAATGACCGGAGAATGTTTCAAATGTCACTGAATAACCGAATGACATCTTTTGCTCCTTCTTTAACTCTTCAACAACACACTCATACATGACCTTACTCATAGAGGAGTAGTGAACTTATAAAAAGGCTGAGTCCAGTCCTGACTGAGGACACAAAGTCGCAGACAGAGTGTTGAATATTGTGAGGGTAGGAAGCCATTGGCAGAGGTGTTTTTTTTTTTGTTTTTTTTTACCTCCTGAGGTAATACAGGCACGAGAAGGCTTCTTTTCTTCAGTCAGTTTATTTTTTTCAAATGCTACGCTGTGGATATGCACTCTTCTGGCTGTTGGGGTCAGTGTTGTTGATCTGCGTTGTGTCACCAGTGAAGGGTGAAGCTGTGGTAACACATGAGGGGTCCCACCTGAAGCTGTCCGAATCCAGTCACTCGAATGAGTCTCAACATGGCCACAGCTCCAATACCACAGGAATACCCATCGTTAGCTTTAAATGGCACCACGTGGAGACCCCTTATTTAGTGGCTTTTTGGGTACTGGTGTCATTTTTGGGCAAACTGGGTATGTAATACATATTGTAGAATATAAATATGATAAAAAAAATTCTATGCTCTGTTTATTACACGAGAAGATAAAAGAAAAGAAGAAGTATAGTTTGCCTCTTGCAAACAGAGAAGGTGATGTGGAGCAAGCTTTCACTTTTGGTAGCTAAAATCCTCTAAATGAATAGCTCAGGCTTATAAAATATAAATATACAGATAAAAACACAGAGGTGAAAAATTGTATACTTGATACAAGTTGCTGTAATTTAATCTTTAATTACATTTAACCTCTTAAAGCCTAAAATATGAAATGATTTCAAAATTGAGAATTTGTTGAGCCAATATAACAAATGTATAACATTTTAATTTCCATATATGACTTTTGATTTGTATCATATTTGCTACTTCTGGCATTTAAAAAATGCTGAAGAATGTATCTTGAATGAAATTTCTTTAGGTTTTTCAGGGGTGAAAAAAAAATCACACTGATAAAGGAGAAGTCTCAAAAACTGCACGTATCAAACATGATACAGCAGGATTTAAGAGGGTAAATATAAACATGCAGAACAGAAGTGTAACCCCGTGAGGTGGGAATTGGTTTACAGCTGTGGGACAGTAGGGTTTATTGTTAAATAAACTTTAATGGCACTTCCTCTGCCCATTAATCATGAGGCTATCTTTAGTTATGCAGTGAGGTTTCATTCATCCGCCACGCTGGTTAATCATGTGCTTTCGTGTTTTTTTAGATGAGCACTACAGTTAATCATTTGCAAATGTTACAACCTCACAGCTCCAACCTGACTACAAGCAGATTAATCTAAAATCAAAGGTTATTACTCTTGATTCATGGTTCTTATCTTTTTTTTTTT